TATATTTATTCTTGGAATAATCTATGCTTGAACTAATGTAATCCTTGCTCTTAGCACAAATTATGGCTTTATCATGATATACAATATATATCTAGTTCAAGATTACTATTAACAAATTAAAATGTACATATCAATTTTTACCTAGGCTTATTTCTATTAGCAAGTCAATCTACATCTGCCCTCTGTGGACTGAATTTTCTCTCTATTTGATCAGAGTTAAGTATGATTTCTATCTAGGATATAAAAGCATAAATACTACTGCTGTATCACATTTGTAGAAAAGTTTTGTCACCTTAACTGAAGCTATACATTTCCATCAATTCAAGAAAACCAAACATGTGTATATATATATATATAGTAGATAATAAATAAATAAGTCGCCTGAAGAAGCCCTAGAAGGCAGAAAGGTCTAGCGACCGATCTGAAAAAAAATGTTTTTATTCTATATATATATATATATACAATGTATGTGTTTTGATGCAAAATTTGTTTTAAAAACTATGGAATTATTAGATTTATTTCCTTCAAAATCTTCCAATTATTTCAAAAGTTCAACCTCCAGAATTTACCTTCGAATCTTGTATGTTATAATATATGTATATAAGATAGCCTCCAAACATCTGAAATTACACTCCAGCTTAGTTTAAATGACAATCCACTTGACATAAACCTGCAGCTGTGATTTAAAGTCTAGAATATCTTATAATGTCTAAGTGAAATATTAATGAAAAGATGGCAAACCTGATTAGGGCCTTGTAATGCTAATACATGCATGCCCTAACTCTACACATTCGTGTAATGTAACGTAACCAGATGAAACACGATGAATGTACCTGCACAACAATTATTTTGCTAGACCATCCCAGGTAATATATACCATACATATCCTGTAATAAGCCCAGGGGGTTTGTGGGGTTGGTTTTTTTGGGGGGGGGGGGCAACACATAATATTTTACTAAAAGTAGAAATAGGGGATGGACTTATGGACTTATTTCAGGATAATGAAATACATTTGTTTGCATTTTTATTGAACTGCAAACAATGTTTGGGTGGGCTTATTAGCAAGCATGGGCTTATTGCAGAATAGGTACGGTCAATGTTGGGTGCACTGCAGAAAAATTGCATGGTACCAACTTGCCAGATGCAATTTGCCTGTGGTACTATAGTACTATATATATAATATTTATTTTGTACTGAAAGTGACAACAGTAGTGTATACAGCTATATAAATCATACATATTTAAGTTAATAAAAGCCTTTTTATATAGTGTATTAATCCCCAGAATGCTATTTATATATCTATCTGACCCACAGGTCTCACTCTGTAGAAAATAAATCAAATGAAAGTTTGCCTTGTAACTTCTAGTATTTTTAATTGTATTTAATTACGTTAAAAACATTCTTTAGAAATGACAGATAAAATTCCAAATTTGAATGCAAGCTATGTTTTTTCTCTAATTCTACAAGCCCTTGGCCCATTCCCAAAATAGAGAGAGAGAAAAAATCTATGCAATGGCTGATATACTACATGACGTAACATGATCGGTGTATTAGACAACTGCAGGACGTCAACTTTAAAGCCATGCATTCTGCAATACTTCGCTACTTGACATGTTTATCTTTATAATCTTTATTCTATAAACCATCAATGAGGCAATATAATTTTGTAGAAGTTTACGTAATAATGACAATGTCCTGTGACAATATATATTGTAGACCTGCGCCGCCTACATTTTTCTACATGACATACATGTACTGATCTAGTCCGATAAAGTGTTTGCCAACAGTTCAGTCTTCAACTTACACTAATAGAGGAAAACCAATATTTATCTTGTGTGTTATAATGTGGGTACAAATCAGTGTTGACACAGCTATCGCTGGTTAGCCGACATTGGTTTCATATTTAAATGTAGACCTAAGCCTTTTAATCCACATTTAAAATCGCAAATTTGCAGCTTGTTTTGATTTATAAGCCGTACATGTTAAAATGTAAACACACGGTTATGTCCGTACATATTTACTCACAGGGAAGAAATTCAAAAGTATCAAATAAGTTTGAACTGAAGAATCTTTCTTATTGATACAAGCTTAAGGTAAACTGTATTTTATGTGATACAATTATTACCATATTTACCAGGTTTGATAATTATACAAGGGAATTCAAAGCAACAGATTTTAAGACTCAAAAAGAGGTTAAAGAAGAAAGCAGAAAAACAGAATGGGAATATTTTTCTGGGGGGTGGCCATGGAGAGGGGTACGTGGGGGTTGATTGTGGTGTTTGGCACTGTAGAGTTCTATCGATATGGCCAGAATATATATAGCACCTGTATATTTATATTCAAGATGCATGGTAGCCTAAATGCTCCTGCTGCTGCAGTGGATGTGTATAGGCTACATATCTTGACTGTACATATATTCTGATTTAACCATACTGATATATAGAGCTTACAGATCGCCTGAATGTGTGTGTATTGGTGATTGGGTGGTCAGGGGGTAAGGGGTGATCAGGGGGTAAGGGGTGATCAGGGGGTTAGAGGTGGTCAGGGGGTTAGGGGTGATGCAGGTACACTTTAAGTTTGATCAAGATATCTTTAACGGTTTAAAATGTAC